GGTCCACACTAGACTCAGAGAAAAAGTTTCATTCTAATGAAAATCATAAGACGCTCTAGGAAAACCATATGAATTCCAAATGAATCAAAGAAGAAGCACCAAAGTTGGAGAATAAAAGATTCTCCAGGAAAACCATAGGATCATGGAGACAAGAAGGTTTGGGGACTTCTGATCCCCCTTTCCAACCCAGGCAATCCTATATCTCCTAACAAAGGTGTGAACGGTAAGCCTACAGAAAATAAGCAGGTCAGGATGGCTTGCGATCCAAAAACTGTGAATTTTCAAGTAATCTAAAAAATGGCAACATCTTGGAGAGGTGGAAAACATATTCTGACCTAAACTGATACCCTAGAACCACTGGCCCAATTAACCGACTACAGCTTTGTGGATCTAATAACTACCATTGATGAAAGCCCTTGAGTGTTGGGTCCTCTCTCTTTGGAGGCCAGAAGACATGTATACCACACTCTCCAATACCAGGAGCACACACATAACTGGAGGATCAAGTTTAATCTACTTCACCGTTAGATTTTTGGTTTCCCAAAAGCATTCGGTATGATTCGACATTTCATATCGAGAGATTACGAGGACTGGCCGAAGGTAGATCCTTTCCTGACCATCAGGATAACAGAATACCCAATGAACCAGCCTCAGTTTGTCAAACTAGGAGGAGGCACCAAGGCCCAAAACATGTACCTCAGGGTCAGCCACATAGAGAAACATTTATATAAAAGGCATTTGAGACATATCAGGGTGGACAAGAGCTGGAACATATGGCCTTTGGGGGTGCACTCAATAGGAATAGCCTCCATAGAACCAGAAGAGGTTGTACTTCCTGTACACTGTTTGACCTGCTTTCCTCTGGTAGGCGTCACAGAACTGCCAGACACAAAAACAGCTTCTTCCCAGTTCCCACAGGCTGTCTCTCTGATTACCCCATTATTCAGCTGTCATCCAGGCCCATCTCACTATCTGCACACATGTACATATATTCCTATTCTCTTCTTCTTTTGTAAATACTAATACCTGAGTTTTGTATTTTGTATGTAACTCCACTGAAGTGAGAAACACCCAGAGTCAAATTCCTTGTATGGTAACACATAATTGGCGGATAAAACAGATTCTGATTCATTTTAGTATGACCCAAATCAAGAAGATGTGAGCTGCCACATTCAACAAGCTTCACGATATAGAGATGGTGAACAGATACAGATTCTGGATTTAGCAGGAAGGGGCCTGTTTTATGGCACCGTGGGGGCCACTGTAGTGTGTTCACAAGTAGGGGTCCAATGGCTGCCTAGATCAAATTCAAGTTCCTGATGCCTACAAAGTCCTTAAAGGGACGCGCTCCCATCGACTTGAACCCTTGAACCCATCCGTTTCTGGTCTAGTTTTATCCATTTTCTGTTCAGTTTGTTTGTTTCTGGTCTGGTCTAGTTTAGTTTTAGTTGTGGTCAGTTCATGTATTTCTGGTCTAATTTAGTCCTTTTTGTGATCAGTTTATACATTTAGAGTCTAATTTAGTTCTTTTCGTGACTGTTTTCAGGCGTTGTTCCAAGATGGAGGAAGGAGCTAGAACAGCAGCGTCCCCTTTCTATCTTTAGGAAACTCCTCCAGACCCCCTCCCCCTCTCCACAGAGGAGCTCCTTTCCTAACTCCTCTAGACCCTCTACTCCTCTTTCTGAGCTTCCCTCCATCTCCTCCTGTCTCCTCTGACTCTGACTGGGGGTTTTCCTCCAGAGAGCTGATTGTCATTTTGATGATAGCTGGAACATTGGGTCTACTTTGTAAGTCACTTTGGATAAAAGCGTCTAAATGCAGAAACATGAATATACACAGTTTTTGGTCTAATTTAGTCATTTATGTGGTCAGTTTGTTTGTTTCTAGTCTAATTTAGTTTTAGTTGTTAGCAGTTAATGTATTTCTGGTCTAATTTAGTCCTTTTTGTGGTCAGTTTGTGTATTTCTTGTCTAATTTGGTCCTTTTTGTGGTCAGTTTGTGTATTTTTGGTGTGATTTAGACCCACCACTTCACAGAGCAGCTCCAACCCTGACTCCTCCCCAGACCTCTGGACCCTCTACTCCTCTTTATGAGCTTCCCTCTATCTCCTCCTGTCTCCTCTGACTCTGACTGGGGGTTTTCCTCCAGAGAGCTGATTGTCAGACTGATGAGAACTAGAACATTGTGTCTACTTTGGGAGTTGTTTTGGATAAAATCGTCTAAATCCAGACACAAACAAAAAACAACAAAGAATTCTGGAGAATCTGTCACCAAACAGCCTTCTCAGTTGGTTGGCAGGAGGCTGGGATCATTAAACGTGGTGTAGAGGGGCACGCTGAATAAGTTAGACGCCATTACCCTCTTTTATTGTCTTCTGGTGGGGCCAGGGAGCAGCTGACTGCACGTATCACGACATTGTAAAACCAAGCTGTTCAGTGGACCTTTGTCCCGTCTGCTTCAAAGCTTAACAAAAAAACTTTATGAAACTACCCTCCCCCCCCCCACCCCCCTCAGCCACCAAAGACTGGAGCCATCCAAAAATCATTATAACCCATTTTTACAAGCTATTATTTATTTGTATTTTCTACTTCTTAATTCTATTTTTATATTTAGTCCAATTGTAGTTCACATTGACAAAATGGAGCCGTTTGGACATTTAAATTTCCCTTAAAATGGTAAAGCAACAATCGGCTGAATTCCCACTTTAAAATGAATCAAAGAACGAATAATCTGAGAAGCCCCGAAGCTGAAGAATAAAAGATGATTACATTTTTTTTTTTATTTCAGCTCATTTTTATTGAACAAAAATGTTTCAAAGATCATGTAGGAAATACATTATAATACAAGTGTCGCACAAACAAGACTAACAGAAGATCTAGAAAAGGGCATGAACATGACCATGTAACGACCAGTCGGGAGGGGAATCTGGAAAGAGGCTCCAGAGCAAAATGAAGATCAGCAGGACTGATGTGGGATCTGGTCTAATTTCAAACTGGAACAGTGCACTGAGCATGTGGCAGAACCCAGATTTCCACAGCAAACCCAATTAATTCTGGCACACGTCCTGCAGATGTCACGATTTCTGACTGTCGGAGCATTTAAAAACAGATGCAGGTTAATTTATAACTGCCGCTCTTCTTTATGCCCCTTTGATGGCATTTCAGCTGCTTTATTGACGTTTTTGGGGGGATTAGTCACGCTTTTTTTTTGTAGTTTTACCTTGAAAAAAATCCATCGGAACTAAAGGTCCACTTATAGACTTTAAAAAAATAATCCCAATCAAGACCTTTACATTAATAACGACTCAAGAACAAACTGCCAAGAAGCCCACGGGATTTATAAAGCAACCTTGTTTAATCTCGAGCGCTGGAATGTGGATTCCCCATCGGAAATACACAGAAATGTGTCGCTGATGATAACATGGAAATGGACTCACATGTTCTGTCACAGTACGAACACTTTGAAAAGCTAAAGGGTGGTTTGGTGTGTTCATCCCAACCTGCAGGGGGCAGCAGAGCGATCCCTAACCGGATTTCGCTGCTCTAATCTGGACGAGAAATACGAAAAAACTGGACGACATTCTTGTGCCAGCACCAACACTGGAGAGTTAGCACCTGTAGGGGAAACCAGTCGATGAAATAAACCAAATTTGAGGGGATTGGTTCAGATATTTTCTAAATGCCACAACAAAAACGTCCTTTTTTAAATCAAGAGACGATATATCACTGTCAAAGTGCATTTCATGAGATCTACGGTGAGTCACAACGGTTAATTTTCCTCAAAGAAGCTCAATAAAATAATTATCTCAATAGTCTTTTCATTCGTTTTTGGACAGTTTATTTAAATGGCAAACAAATTTATTCTGATAGGATATAAATATCTCAATATTATGAACCACATCAGAAAAACCAAGGAGACCTGGAGCTGCTCACCCACTGCAAGAACTTTTAAAAATCTGTCTTACTAATGTGTTACAACAGCTCTTAAACTGGACTTCTGTGAACTTCAGGAACAAAAATAACTTTTGCTGTCCGATAAGCTTGCCACATCTTGGGACAGCATTCCCTCAAATTAAGCACAGAAAATACAATTCATTTGGTATTTCGACATTGTTTTTTCGGGACACAAGAAAGGCGAGAAACCTTTCTCATAAATTTGATATTATCGAAGTAATAACGGGAGAAATATTAAATTAAGGACTAAAATGTTTGACCAAAGCCTGGATCCGTTTCCATACTTGCCATTTCCTGTCATTGTTTTCCCAGATTTGTGTTATTTTGTTGCTCTCTAAGACAATAAATATTTCAGGCTGTCCCCGGCCATCTTTTGTTTCCACCGACCAAAGGAACACTTTGTGAAGGACTTAACATCCAATCTACATCACGACTTCCTGATATCCAGGGAATACAAAAAAAAGACCAAAAAAAAACAAAAAAAAAGGGAAGACAAAAAGTCTTTATCAATGGTTTTGCTGGAAAAATGGGATGTCTTTCCCCAACGTTAGCTTAATCGCTTCCTTCCTTTGAGCGGAGTGCAGAGACACGGCGTCGCTTTAAGCGCTACGAGTAAAAAAATACCTACGTTTCCAACACGCGGCGCCCCGGTTCGAACGAGTCCGATACCCAGAAAACAACAGCGACCCCCACGTGTCTTCTTTTTAAAGGGCCGAAAATCCACCTCTCGCCCCTGGTAAATTCCACAGTAGACGAGCTTTGTCCCAGGAACAGAAAGCAGGGCGCAATTCACCAAACGCACAGTGAGAATGTACCAGCATTTGGCTGTTAGTTATTTCCCAGCCTGCTAGGAAAAGCACCACCTAACCTCAAATGCTTTGTCACTTCTCGGTGCTTAAAAGTCCCCCGAAAGACGACTTGTCCGAGAGGGAACACCCGGGAATGCGCGAGACTTCTACGATGTACGCTAACGAACGCAAAAACGCCGACGTCTGTCGGAGGATACCGAAGTAAACCGGGGAACGGGGGAAGGTGGGAAGAGAGCCGTCATTTGTTCTGGAATCTGAAGTCTCTCAGGACGTGGTTGAGGGGCTGGATCTGGATCACCGGACAGAGGTTGACCTGCAGGATCTTCTGGGCTTTGATGCAGGCCTCGGCCACCGAGCGCGAGTCGTCCACCTTCACCACCTTCCGCCTCAAGCTCTTCTTGTCCTTCCAGCCGTTCCTCTGCTGGGCGGGTATGCTGGGTAGCTCTTGAGGGAAGTCGTTACCGCCCCCCCCGCCCCCCCCACCCCCTCTCCACCCGTTGCTGCTCAGCTCGGTGTGAGTCTCCGGGAACGCCCGGCCGTTGGCGTAGAAAACCGGCGCCGAGTCTCCGATCAGGGCGCCGTCCAGCCGGATGGGGCAGGACAGGCTCTTCTGGCTGAACAGGGCCACGGCCCGCGTGGGGCCCCCCCCGCCCCCCCCCCCCTTCCGGGGCGGGGGCGGGGGGGATCCCCGATAGCATCGGCGGGAGTTTGTACGGCGGCGGGAATGCGTCCGACGGCAACGAATCCTCGCGCACGGCGTGGATCTGGAGTCTGGCCGTAGGGAATCCGGACATCCCCTCGATGTTGGTCAGTCTGAGGAACGGTTGAACGTCTTCGTGCACCGGTATCCGGTTCGGCGTGCGGCTGCAGACCACCGCCCGGTGGTCCACCAGCGCCTCCGGGGGCCGGACCCCCTGGATCCGGGGGCCGCTCCTGTCCGAGACGTTCCAGGACGGGTGCACCTCCCTCTTCTTCACCAGGGGCCTCCTCCTCCGTTTCTTAGAGGCCGGCCGGTTTAGGCCCCGGCTGGCCGGGCGCAGCATGTCCTCGGTGAGCGGTTGGCTGGTGCAGGACCGGTAGGCGTACACGTCCTTGCTGTGCAGCACCGTGGGCTTGTGGCCCTCCTCGCTCAGCTCCTGCAGGAAGGTCACCAGCTCCTCCGTGCTGGAGATGTCCCGCGACACCGGGCTGAGGATCTTCAGCGCGTCCAGGAGGACGTTGTGCCCCGCCGAAGAGATCCGGGACCAGGAGTGGACGGCCCGCCGCTCCTCCGTGGCAAACAGCAAGGGCCGGCTGACCATGGGGCCCTGTGGTGCGTCAGCCATGTTTGCAAACCTGCGGGAAAACAGACGAAAACACCTCGTAAACTAAGAAAAAAAATAAAAATAATAAAAAACAGTCCCAAATACAGTAGAACCTCTACTACGAATTGCCGAAACAGACACATTTTCCAGTGAAATTCGATCAAATATTCGACTCGACGACCAAAGTAAATTTCATAGAAAAATATATCTAAAATATAAAAATTAAGTAAAAATAAATAGCTGTTTGTTCTGAAATCAATAATGTTTGACTAGTTTTCGATGTCGACTCCTTTACCTCATAACACTAATACAGCAGAACCTCTACTTCCCATCGCCTTAACAGACGAATTTTCCAGTGAAATTCAATCAAATATTCAACTCGACAACCAAAGTAAATTTCATAGAAAGTCATAGAAAAATATATCTAAAATATAAAAAGTAAAAATAAATAAGCTGTTTGGTCTGAAATCAATAATGTTTGACTGGTTTTCGATTCCTCATTATAACACAAATACAGCAGAACCTCTACATACAATCTCGTAAACATACAAATTTTCCAGTGAAATTCGATCAAATATTCGACTCGACACCCAAAGTAAATTTCATAGAAAGTCATAGAAAAATATATCTAAAATATAAAAATTAAGTCAAAATAAATAAGATGTTTGGTCTGAAATCAGTGTTTGACTGGTTTTCGATTCATCATTATAACACTAATACAGCAGAACCTCTACATACAATCTCGTAAACATACAAATTTTTCAGTGAAATTCGATCAAATATTCGACTTGACCACCGAAGTAAATTTCACAGAACGTCATAGAAAAATATATCTAAAATATAAAAAGTAAAAATGAATAAGCCGTTTGGTCTGAAATCTATGTTTGACTGGTTTTCGATGCCGACTCCTTTACTTCCCATCGCCTAAATAGACCCGGATGTAAAAACGTAACATGGAGATGTCTTAGTGAGGCTTTTTGCTGTGTAAACTGTGTTTAACCGGCACTTTGGCCAATGTCGATCACCCAAAAAAAGCCAGTTTTTTAGCCGAGCTGGTTAGAAATCCAATAGAAATCACCAATTAAATGTATTTTATCTGTGTAAATGAATGCATAATCTGGTCCCTACATAAAAAAGGGTATGGCAGATGTAAAATGTAACATGGAGATGTCTTAGTGATGCTTTTCGCTGTGTAAAAGGAGTTTAACCGGCACGTTGGCCAATGTCGATCATCCAAAAAAGGCTTGTTTTTTAGCCGAGCTGGTTAGAAATCCAATAGAAATCACCAATTAACTGTGTTTTAACTGTGTAAATGAGTAAATAAAACACCAATTAACTGTATTTTCACTGTGTAAATGACTAAGTAATGTGGTCCCTACATAAAAAAGGGTATGGCAGATGTAAAATGTAACATGGAGATGTCTTAGTGATGCTTTTCGCTGTGTAAAATCCAATAGAATTCCAATAGAAATCAACAATTAATCGTATTCTAACTGTGTAAATGAATAAATAATGTGGACCCTACATAAAAAAGGGGACGGTAGATGTAAAAAATACCACAGGGATGTCTTAGTGATGCTTTTCGCTTTGTAAACTGAGTTTAACCTGGAGCCAAAAAAGGCTTGTTTTTTATCCCAAAAACAAAGCTTGTTTTTTATCCCAAAAACAAAGCTTGTTTTTGAGCCAAGCTGGTTAGAAATCCAATAGAAATCACCAATTAACTGTATTTTATCTAAATGTAAATGAGTAAATAATGTGGTCCCTACATAAAAAAATTCTACAGGGATGTCTAAGTGATGCTTTTCGCTGTGTAAAATCCAACAGAAATCCAATAGAAATCACCAATTAACTGTATTTTATCTGTGTAAATGAGTAAGTAATGTGGTCCCTACATAAAAAAGGGTATGGCAGATGTAAAATGTAACATGGAGATGTCTTAGTGATGCTTTTCGCTGTCTAAACTGAGTTTAACCGGCACGTTGGCCAATGCCGATCACCCAAAAAAAGCTTGTTTTTTATCCGAACTGGTTAGAAGCTCCTAAGAGCTCCTTTGGGCTCAGAGGCAGGCTGATTGAAGCCGGGGGGGGTGTTGGCTCCCTGTTGGAGGCCGATTAATCAGGCGCCTTCCTCTGCTTGACCAGCAGACAGGGGGAAAAAAAGGTAAATGTCAAGAACCCCGAAGATCCTGCTCAGAAAACCTGAGCAGCTGCATCATTAGCCCGAGCTTACGAGAGGAGAACGGCGTGACCTTTTCCCCGCTCGGCGCCAATAAAGACGCCGAGCTTCTACAATCACCGCCAAAAAACACGGAATCAACCCTCTGATGGGGCTGTTAAGAGGGGATTTCACAAAAGAAGAATATTCTTTTTCAAAAAGGCTCAAACTCTCTTGAACAAGATGCAGCTTTATCCTTTTGGATGTCCAATTTATTTCAGAGATTTTGACTTTTTTCTGGCCGTAAAACGGAACCAAATGGTTACTATAGTTTTTTCTTATAATGTGCAATGTTACAGTTTTTATCCTATAATGTGTAATGTTAGTTTTTATCCTACAATATGCAATAATAGAGCTTTTATTCTATAATGTGTAATATTAGTTTTTATCCTATAATGTGCGATAATACAGTTTTATCCTATAATGTATAATATTCGTTTTTATCCTATAATGTGCGATAATACAGTTTTATCCTATAATGTAAAATATTAGTTTTTATCCTACAATTTGAAAAATACAGTTTATCCTATAATGTGCAAAAATACAGTTTTTATCCTATAATGTGTAATATTAGTTTTTATCCTACAATGTGCAATAATACAGTTTTTATTAAAAAATGTGCTATAATATAGTTTTTATCCCATATTTTGCAATATTCCAGTTTTTAATCCTATAATGATCCAATTTTCTGCCTGGGTATTGAATTATAACCAACAGGGGTTAAACAAAAAACAATATTCCTGGATATTCTTTCAACATCTAGGTTAGTAAATAATTAATACAGCCGACATTTATCATTTAAACTAATTTCACCAGGAACTAAAACAAGGAAACCAACACAGGCTGAACCGGATGCAATAACCGATTCCTTTGTTGGGAAAAGGAAGGGTCCATTGTTAAAAAAAAAAAAAGCCATCAAATGCTAAATCAAATGATGGATTGAAGCGAACTGGTTGGGGTTTTAATTGGTCCTTGTGCTGCTCTCCCAACAGGGTTTTTCTTTGAGCGGAAGCCTTCACGACTCTTCACCATCAAAGGCTGATTTCTGTGTCAGAGTGTGTCGGACGCTGAGGACGTCCAGCCAATCAGGACGCATTACCGTCACAGCAGGAACGTTCATCCGCCTTTTGAATTTCCCCCAAGAGACCAAAGGACCGGTCGGGATTTCTGTCCAAATCCCGCTGGATTCCGTGAAAATACAGAAGAACCTTTAATTACGAAGCCTAAAATTATGGATTTTCCAACATCCGAAGGGAAATTCGATCAAATATTCGACTCGACAGCCAAAGTAAATTTCCAACATACAAAGCAAAACATATCTAAAATATAGAAATTAAATAAAAATAAATAAGCTAAGTTAGCTTAAAGTTCGTGTAGTGAAAGTTAAAGTTACGGTACATCCTGAATCTCAGTCTCTACCAGCCAATAAAAACCCTTTTTATTGATTATTTCTTTGTCATTTATTTATTTTTACATCTCTATTATATAATGTATTTGTTTTATTGCTATGTGTAATCATCTGCAGTATTAATCAAGGAGTTATCGTAGGTTTTTGGAACGAATTATAGAAATTGCAGTGTATTCTTATGGGAACATTTGAACCAACATAAATATTTTTAACATATGAAGTTGGTCCTGGAACGAGTTAAATTCATATGTAGATGTTCTACTGTACTGTTTCACAACTTAGCTTTTACACAGCGATCAATATCTATAGATAGCTCTTAATAACATAAAGTTTCATCCACTCCATTTTGTGGAGAGTTTTATCTGGTAAAGTCATGCCAGAGGAACCAGAGGTGGACTGAACCCCAGCAGCTCTGATGGAGAGACGGATCCTCCAGAGCTCCAGATTATGAACGTTTTCCACATTATGAAGAAGAGTGGGATCATCTGACAGAGAACGGAGCCAAAGGCAGAAAACATCCAGAGAAGAGCTTTGAATCGTCCTCCAAGAAGCTGGAGAGCTTTTCCTGGAGGCTCCTCACAGAGAGGAGCTGCTGGAGAGGCTTCAGGATGGAGGAGGAAGGAGACGCTTTTACTATAGAAGATAAACACTATTTATTCTGACAGGATGAAACTCCTTAGAGGGACACGGTGTAGGAATCTCTCCATCTGATGGCAAAATTGTATTTTGCATCCTAACAAATCTGCTTTCTAGCGCCTCAGTTTTCAAATGGGTATTTCTTTTTTCTTCTTTTCTTTCTTTCTGGTCTTTTCTCTTTCTCTTTGGTCTCTTTTTTCTTTCTGGTCTTTTCTCTTTTCTTTTTGGTCTTTTCTTTTCTCGTTCTTTCTGTTCTTTTCTTTTCTCTTTTCTTTCTTTTTGGTCTCTTTTTTCTTTCTGTTTTTTTCTTTTCTCGTTCTTTCTGGTCTTTTCTTTTCTCTTTTCTTTCTTTTTGGTCTCTTTTTTCTTTCTGGTCTTTTCTTTCTTTCCGTTTTTTAATTTTCTTTTTAATTCCTCCTCCAACAAGATAGAGAGAATCACGTTGCCATGTTAGCTTGATTTTTTTTGTTTGTAGCTTGCTGGAGCTCGTTACTAGCCATTGTCATAGCTAGCGTTAGCTAACAGCTCGACACACAACGAACAAACGAATGTTAAAGTCTGAATCACAGACTGAGAAGCTGAACTGTGCTAATTAGAAGTGATATATTAGCATAAACTATGCTAATTAGTAGTGATATATTAGCATGAACTGTGCCAGTTATCAGAGATACGAGCTCCTCTAGCTGATTACAGCTGGTTTCAGTTACGTGACTGAAGGAAAACGCGTTGTGGATTAGCTAGACAGGCAGACTAGTGATTTATG